ACTGATGTCAGTTGATTTTGTACTCTATTCTATGAACTAGATCATTGTAGGCTTTAAGGTACAATTATAAATAATTAAGTGAAAATAGCTATTTTTACTCCGTTTTGAAGTCTTGTTAAGTTTTTTCACACCACCCAATAAAAAACTAAGTTTTTCACTCTAGAAAGTGCGAAAGGCATTGTGCGATGAATATGCGACAGTTTGCGCGATGACATTGTGCGAAAGCTAAAAGTGCGAAGGCATTCGCATATCCCTTCGCGCTTTCTGGGGTGGAAAAATGTTAAAGTGCGAAGGCGTTGCGCGATGAATATGCGACAGTTATGGAATTGATATGCGACAGTTATGCAGTCCATTCGCATAAGCTTCGCACTTTCTGGGGTAAAAAAGTTAGATGTTAATGGGAGGTGTAAAAAACTTAACGTATATTTGAATTGGGGTGATTTTTTTTTTTTCCCAATTACAACTGTGATTTAAAAAAATAAAGTAAAATAAAATAAAATACTAGACTATCTTAACTTATAATATTTCATAAAACACAACTGAAGTTGTAGGGGAATACACACATGTATACCTAAATTGCGCTAAGTATGAAAAACAATAAACTTGAATGTACCTTCACACAATTATGGAAGCAACAGTTCTACAAAACATGAACTTTCAGGAGAGCATGTCGCTTTTTCTCTGGAACTCTTTCATCAATATATATATATATATTGCAGCCATAAATCAAATGTTGTAGAATGTCGACTCCTCTCCACTACTTTTGAACTATTACTTTTTCGACCACAAATCATTTATAGATTTTTTAGTTTGAATCCACTCAAACTAATCTAAGTGTTCCTCCCGAACACTTTAGTTCAACAAAACAACAAAACAAAAACACTCACTCTATGTGATCGAGAACACCCTCTCAATTCTCATAACAGTTGAATTACTTAGCTTACATTATTGTTAGAGTTTGCTATATTTTTTTTATTCAAAAAGAATAATACTTCCGTTAATTCCGATAATCAAAATACCAATATTCGTGTTGGAGGTTGGAGCAAATCCACATTGTTAGAGATATCAAATACTATCATTTAAACTAAATAGATAGGTGGTATAATTAGCTTTTTTTATTTTTTATTTTTTATTTTTTAACTTATATATAAAAGAACTCGTGGATATATAAGTCAAAAATAAGTACACAATATCCTACCAAGACGCATTCTTTAAACTATCAAAATAAGTTTTTTATTTACCATTCAGCCCACGGTAAGTAGTGTGGTAATAATTTAAGAGGAAGAGAAGTAAAAAAGAGTCATCTCATCAGTATAATTTACGAAGTTGGTGAAAAACGCAAAGAATTGTTTGAAAAATATGGACGCCAAGTCAACACCTAATTGAGTGACAATTTAGGGTGATTCTTCGGTCCCGTTAACCATTTCGTCGAGATTTGTAACCGTTAGATCAACTATTCACGACGATTACGTGATGATCTTACGGTTATAAATTTCGACAGAATTGTTCCGTAACGGAACTGTAGCAATTCCCCACAATTTAATTATCCATTTAATAAAACATAAAAAAAAAATATTACACAACATTTTTCAGAGGAACATCATTGTAAAATAAAATAGATGAACCACTTTATTTGGATTATTGGACGGAGTATCTAACATAATTAGTACATTTCTAAATGAAGAATATGAATTATCTGATATGAATAGACTAGCTTTACGGATCGAAAATAGGTCACTTGACAAGTTCGATTCGTTGGGATGAACCGGTTCTCCAAAAATCGTCGATTCAGTTAAAAAATCAAGCAGTCATATCGGTTCATTTTTTATTTTATAAAAAAAAAATTGATTTATATTTGATATATTTTTGACAAAACAAAATCAAATGTTAATATATTAAGATATGTATAATTATTGTACCAATTAATGTGTTTACATTCATATATTTAACTAATAATGTGTTTATATGTAATTTATTACTTGAAGTATTATATAATATTTAATAATATTAATAAATAATCATTGATTCAACCTGAAAATATTTTACTATGGATCGAATGGTCACAATAAAAAATTATGTTTAGGTTTCTCAAAGAAATATTCTATTTGTCGGTCTATTTATGTTTCATAAGAATCTAACGAACGGATTTCTAGTGTAATTATGGAAAATTTTAA